CTGAAATGCTTCCTGTTTTGGAATGACTTTGTCCTAGTGTCCCTTATCACTGTCCCGTTCTATCCTTTATTGATGAACTTTCACAGAATAGCACTAAATTTAACTATATTGTCCCTTCCACGTGAATTACATGTTGGCTGGGTTTGTGGTGCTGAAGGCATGCCAAGTATTGTAAGAGTGGCAGAAAGAAAACACAGAAGACAACTGGGACACTGCATAGAGCCAAATAACACCATTTAGGGAAATGCACTACTATGCCTGAAAAATGTATTTTGGGGGTAAGGGTTACTTGTCCTACTAAAATCCAAACCTAATTTGGATAACTGACTACTTTTAGCCACTTTTATAGTTTACATAAAGATCTATAACACTTACATGCTCTATTAGGGTGGATTTGTGAAGAAGCAAATGTGGCAGAGGTGGCATAACTGAATATTGGGACCCTGGGTCCTGGGGGACTACCACTTAGAAGCTGAATAAACATCTAGCTGGTGTGTGCAGAGAACCTTACCACACCGGGCACATGTTCTCCTGACCTCGCCTCTGCAGACACTTCTGAAGATTCTAAAGGCTCAAGGAAGAATGTCTATGCTGTCTTCTCTGCCACAATCCTGATTCTTTAGTCAAGCAACTTGCCGTAGGGAAATGTGGGAGTCTCTCCATGCATGGCTTGAATAGCTTGTGTTGAAGAGACTACTCCTTTGTTCCAACTCTCAGATGACAGAGAGGGAGGCTTGAGGGAGAAACAAAGTAGGTTGTTGTGCTGTTTACATAATTATAAAGTGATGGCTTTGCAAGTGGAAGGGAAGTATTTAATTTGCAACAGTTGTTTTCGTCATAGTTGTGGAGTCTTTCCTTTTTGCCCCAAACAAGGAGGCCGAACAAATACCAACAGTGGGTGACTTCTGAGTTTCTAAGGTGTATTCTGATCTTGAAAAGATTATGATATTCATAGTTTGAATCTGAGGAGTAAATCCAACTACCCTCTTTAATTGTAAATAAATGTTTATCAGGTGCATGTATGTAAGCCCTGGCTTATCCTATAGCAGGTTTACAAACCTTTGATGTGGTAAAGAAACATAAAGGCAAGACGCCAAAATTGGTTTCATGTGTAAACTAAACCAAGACAAATTGTGTGCAGACACATACTTTTACTATGTAAATCCACATTATTTTCTAATTTACTACAGAAATTTATATTTTTATTATTTCTCTTGATTATAATACCATTACATCATTTCCCCATTTCCTTTTTTTTCTTCTAAAGCTCCCACATATATATGTATATATATGCCCCCCCTTGCTCTCTGTCAAATTCATGGCCTCTTATTTTCACAATTGTGATTACCTACACATATGCATACACACATGTATTCCTAAATATAACCTGTTTACCCTGTAATGTTACACTTTTCTATGTTTTAAGGGCTGGTCTTTTCTCTTTTAATGAAAGTTTTTGTTTTCCTCTTGGGAACAGAAATTGGTGACTCCTACTTCAGAAGATTTTTGACAATCTGGTTTTTAAAAGAAAAACTGTATTCCATTCCTCCAAGAAAGGACTGGCTATCCCTGTGAATTTAGCTGAGAAATGGTAATAGACAACCTGTGCAGGTGGCTTTCGATGCTGAATTCCTGTTCTTGGCTGGAAGGCCAGGAGTTCAAGGCCAGTTTGGGCCATAGGTGAGACTATCTCAATTGTTGTGAAGACTGAAATTACAGCACAGCTGCGAAGCCAGTGACAGACGTCTGTCCATACAATACTGCATGCAATGATACATACTTGTAACGATTCTGCATTGCTATTTGTTTCACCGTTTTCATTGAGTCACTGGGGAGCATGAGAAATTTTGATATTCAGTAAGACTAGGGCTAGTGGAAAAGTGGAGGATGTGGTTTTCAGTTAGGATGTGGGCAACCCTACACTGGAACTGACTTAGCCTTCAGATATAGAGTGAGGAAAAAGTAATGGCATTTTCCATATAAATTCTTTCTTAGGAAAAAAGCAGAAATATTTCACATCACATCATTTGACTTCATGACATTTTTGTCATCGTATTTTAAATAAAAGCATTCAATTCCTCTAAGAGTAAGTATTATAAATTCATAATTAATACATATAATTCACCAATTTTTCCACATTGGAGTCAAACTAAGTTTGAAAACATCTCGTACTTAAAACAACACAATACAGAATTAATGAATTCTCCATTCTATGATTAAAATCTCTAAGCCTGATAGGACACCTATGTGCTTTAACTTCCAGGACTAAAGAGCACTTATCTCCCCAGAATGCACGCAGTAGTTATTTGGTTGCATTTCAACACAGGTTTAATTGGTTTGTTTCAGCAACTCTGGACGCTGGCCTAATTTCATACAATATCCAATTGTGAGAGCTAAATGCATTGCTTGGAAAGACTGGGCATAATCCATTCTCCAGACCTGAAATTACACAGCTTGATTGAGGAACTCTTATGTTACAGGTTGTCCTGTAAATCTGACCCAATTCCGAACAGCTTGTGATTTTGCAAAAAAAAAAAAAAAAAAAAAAAAGCAGCATTTACTGTTCCTAGCAGCTAGGAGTGTGAACACAGGCAGGCACTGCATTACAAAGGAATTAGGAAGCCCTTAACATATGGAAAAGGATAGACGAAAAGAAAGCTGGGTTCCTAGTTCTTCCTTTTAAAAGTTTTTGGTAAAGTTTTTTGTTTTTTAATATGCACGGGTCTGATACCCAGTTGCCATGCTTGCATGTGGAAAGGAGAACAGGGTCTGCAGGAGGTGATTTTCTCCCTTTTATCTGGTAGGCTCCATGGATTTAATTGAAGTAGCTAGATTCTGTGACAAGCAAGTTCTTTAACAGCTTGCCTGCTGGCCCAGTTAACATTGGTTTTGGAAGGATGTTCATCTCTATCAGGGCAGAAAAGATTTATGAAATGCTCGCATTTTCTTCCTGGCTTAGGAGAGTCTATTATGATAGTATTTCACAACCATTTTTTTAATCAGCCCAGTAGCCAGTGTCGGATATGGGGAAGAGAAACCGAAGCAAATATTGAAGTGTATGTGTACCTCTTTTAATATATCCAAGCTATTCTTTGTGGTGAAATTCCTGTTAAGCTGATAAGCTGTTGAGACACAGTCTACTGGCCAAGCTAATAATAAAGTAGGAGCTCTGTATCCACTGAATATCCATGAAACATCTCACATCTGTCTCTGTATTACGTTTGCTTTGTGGATATCATGAGGTTACCCTACATAATGCTTTAAATACTAAACTCCCACCACTTCACTGACAACAAAGCCCTTCAAGTAGTAATGTGCATGATGCAACTGCCCAATTCATCAGCACGAACTGGGTTTGATGAAAATTCAAATCCAACATTAACAAGAAAATCAGACAGAATCCATGGTATAAGTGAGGATTTTAAATCATTAACATTAAACTATCATGTAACCTTCATAGCATTTCCTTTTAATATTGAAATTTCACTTTGTAATTATATAAACAGCTTAATTTCACTTGTATAATTTCTTAAGATTTAAAAATAAGCTAGAAATAAAATAGATCTTTCTTTCATTATATATAGTAAAAAAATCTCTCGGCAAGGAGTATGAAAGTAAAATGTTAAAATAAAAGACAAAAGCATTGACGTATGACAAAAGAAAAGGTTGAGTTATGTTTAATAATATCAACACTGCTTTAGAACTCTTAGCCAATATAACCGTATTTCATTTTAATGATGCTTTTATTTTCATAAGGAAATGACTGCCTTGGTCTACAAGTGTCTGAATGTAAGACTTACAAGCTAAAATTCAAAGAATAATATTAGAAAATGTAATGGAATGAGTTCACTCTTTCAAAAAGTATAAAACTTGCTTAAATATTTTTTTAGTATTTCACTAAAAGATATAACTGAGAAACCGTATCTGTGTTTCTCATCTGAATTGGTAAGTATCCAGTTAGAGCTTGTTTGTTAATATTCTCCAGTGAGTAGAGGCTACAGTAAAAACTCAAATTGCCCAGGGTCGGCTAAGTGAAATGTCTGGGAAAATGATTAACATGTGTTATTCATTCGATATTACAAATGCTAAGTCAGGCAGGGCAATTGCCTCTGTAACCTCAGCACACTGTGGGGTAGGGGGAGGACTGACAGACACAGGAGGACTACAGTGAGTTCAAGGACTAACTAGGCTGTAGTGACACCTTATTTAAAACAACAAATAAAGAAAAGTTAACTGGATGTCTGTCACATCACTATTTACCTATCATGAACTAAGAAAGTAAACCCCTACATTGGATAAAGTGAACAGTTTCGATAGAATTTAGCTGAATGATGGAGTCAGAACTTCTGTTATTGAAATGGGAACACTCGCATTATCCAGTCCATTAATGGCTTTCAGTAGCTATATGTTCCATACATACTCATAGGAAAAAGGAAACCACATAAATTAGATCTTAAGTATTATGTACAGGTTATATGTCAAATTTTATAATCTTTTTATTCTCATACATGCAGTTCTTATGTACGAGACTTTTAAAACCATGGCATTTCAGTTGTAAGGGATGTTTTTAGGAAGTGTTAGAAATACACCTGAAATAATTCCAATCACTAAAATTTTTAAAGCTTTCATAATGTACAGATAGATATTTACATATTTATTACTAGTTTTACATGGAGTGTTTCAGGGATACCCATGAAACAGAAGTGGTTTCTATTTCGTGATGACTACAAGTTAAATGATTGTTCTGAATTATGGATTGCAGAAACATGTTTAAATCACTGTCTTGAGCTTAACATTAGGAGGAACCATCAATTAGAGCAGCCAAATGAACTGCTTTCAGTTTTTTAGACTTTAGCCCCCAAAGCCTTTAAGCTACAGACCAGTAATTCCTTCCCTTTTGCTAGACTTCATTGGAATGATTACTATGAGAAATATTATCTGCAAATGTCTTATAAGGCGGCTCAGCCAGAAGGGAGAAAAGCGATCTGTTTTAAGCTTACCTTCTGCTACACAAACAGTCCATAATATAAGCCAAATAATTCTCGCTGACAGTCTCATGGTTTGAATCTTTCTGGGACGCAGAGAAATACAGCACCATTCAGTTCTCCTCTGCTAAGAACTGTGGTGACTGTAGGGAAAGACTTGCCCCAAAGGGAAGTTCAAAGTTGGTTTAGGAAATCAGGATCGCTAGATGCTCCGCCCCCTCCACCCCTTCCTCCTCCCCCCACCAGAAACTTCTGCAGAGTAAACTAAAAGTGTTGAGCACAAGTCTAGCAGCGTGGGCGTTTGATCTCAAAGCTCTCTGTGCCCTGCCTATGACCTGCTGGATTGTTCTTGTAAACGCCTGCTTGTTTTCCTTGGAAACAAGTTCAGGTTTCTCGGAATGTGAGAAGCCTGGGCTGGTGATCGCCTCTGGATTTCATAACCACACAACAGAAAGCGCTGAAGGCTCTTTTAAAAATCGTTTAGCGAACTTCAGTTAGGCAGCGTTTTCAGGACCAAAACCCAGGTACTGTCAGGAAACTTTGTCGAGATTGTCACTCTGAGGGATGGCAATAAGGGGACTGCTTTTCTAAATCTATGAAATTGGTATTCCAAGAAATTCTTTTTATATGTGTGAAGCAACTGACCCGTGTTTCCTTGAATATAAATGAAATAACTCAAAAATAAGCACTTGAAGGGCTGATAGTCTAGCTTAATATTTCATAGTAACTAATATAGAGGCACAAAGAAATGCCTGCAGCATGCTGAATTGGTGCAGAACCCAGGGAGATACTCAACATTCAACCTCTTAAACGTGGGACCTCTGTTTTCAATTAGTTCTCTGTGCTCTCCAGATATCTCCCGCCCACTGCCGGTGTCTCCAAGAACATGGATTGTATTCGTCTGTACTTAGTGTAAGTGGGGAAGGAGCAATTTACTCCTTTGTTTCGTTAGAGTCCTTCACTAAGAACTTTATTTGGAATACCACTGATAATTTTTTTGTCCTACTTAATCTTCAGTTTGATTATTGCACAGTTTTGAGTTATCCCACTACATGTTAATGATGGGATCCAGCTAGGAAATAATACAAATAGTACCACAATGGTAGACTGTGTGGGGTTTGGTAAGATGTTACTATCTCAGTCATACAGATGAATGAACCGAGTACATTTAAGCACATTGTTAAGACCATAAGAACTTGCTGGAGTTAGACACTAAATGCAATGCTCTAACACCCCAAATCATACATTGAATCAATACAAATAGGAGTTTTCAGATGGTTTGCTTCCTAATCTGTTAAATACATGGAGATGCAACTGCTAATAATTATCCGGATAGTTGCTTGTCTTGAGGGTGTGACAAGATACCTTACAATAGCAACTAAAGGAAGGACAGGGTTATGTTGACTCACACTTTTCTGAGACACAGGGAAAGGACAGCCACAGGAAGAGGTGGTGCTGGCCACAGGAAAACCACAGTCCTGTTGCAGAGAGCACTGGTGACCACTTGCTTCCCTCTTCTTTTCTTCAGCCTGGGACCCCTCCCCATGAGAAATCCTGATGACAGAACAGTTTACAAAACCTCAGTTTAGAGTGCTTAAAGCTAATCACGTCACAAGAGAAGCTAGCTTAACATCCTGAAGTGTTGTTCATTTTATCCAAGCAACAGGACAGAATTTTTCAAAAAATTGACAATACTACAAATGTATAGACATTGCATATCATGGGTGGCAAACTCCTGATGACTTTTCTAATGTTTTGCTAACAAGTGACAAATTTCAATCAAATATACAGAATACTAAAATTGGGGCTTAAAACAAAATAATCAGAATTCCTCCCTCTCCTCCCATCTTGGAACTCCAGACCTACAGACTGCAGGCAGGTCAACTCTCCCCCTGGACAGATGACCAAGAAATCAGGAGCCTTCAGAGAAAACTGGTCCCCTTCTACCCACACTCAGGGCAGAGGGCAAAGGTGAGCTCCGGGTCCCCATCTTAGACCCAAATTCCACCCACTTGCCCCCTCTCAGATTCCCTGGCCTGGGGACCCCAGCCAAGTGGACTCACCCCTGGACTGACTGCCAAGCAGCCAGGACTCTGTAGAGAGAGTGGGTCCACTCCTGCCCACACTCAGGACAGAGGACAGAGGACAGAGAGCAGAGAGCAGAGGACAGAGAGTATTGGATTTGCTTGCACCTACCGAAAGGGAGCCCTGGTTGGCTACCCACCAGCAGAGGAAGAGGTTCTTTCTACACCCACTGGAAGAAGTGATGGGAAAGAGGCAATATAACAACAGACTCAGCAACTGAAAAACAAATATTATACTACCAGAGTCTAGAGATTCTACACCAGCAAGACCTAAACACCCTAGTGCAGATGAAGCAGAAGGAAATGACCTTAAAAACGTCTTCATAAAAATGATAGAGGCCCTCAAAGAGGATATGAGAAAATTCCTTAAAGAAATGGAAGAAAAAACAAACAAAAATAATCCAACAAATGCAAGAGGGAGAAAACTATGAAGCAAAAATTACAAGAAACAATTCAAACAGTGCAAGGGTTGAAAGCTGACATGGAGCCAATTTAAAAAAAACAGTCTAAAGGAATGCTGGAAATAGAAAAACTGGGAAATAATCAGGTACTACAGATGCAAGCATAACCAGCAGATACAAGAGATGGAAGAGAAAATATCAGGTGTTGAAGACACACTAGGGGAAACAGATTCATTCAACAAAGAAAATCTTAAGTCCAACAAATCCCTAACATAAAACATACAGGAAATATGGGATACTGTCAAAAGACCAAACCTAAGAATCATAGGTATAGAAGAAAGTGAAGAAACCCAACTCAAAGGGGCAGAAAACATATTCAACAAAATCATAGTAGAAAACTTTCCCAACCTAAAGAAAGACATGCCAATAAAGGTAACAAGAAACTTACAGAACACCAAATAGAGTGGACCACAAAAAAAGTCCCCTCGCCACATAATTATCAAGATCCCAAGCATACAGAATAAAGAAAGAATACTTAGAGCCTCTGAAGAAAATGTCAAATAACATATAAAGGCAAATCTATCAGAATTAATCCTGACTTCTCCATGGAAACTCTGGAAGCCAGAAGGTCCTGGATAGTCTATCAACACTAAGAGACCGCAGATGCCAGCCCAGACTACTATATCCACCAAGATGAAGTCTCGATTCTGAACATCTATGCCCCAAACACAAAGGCACCCACATTCGTAAAAGAGCCATTATGAAACTCAAACCACACATAAGACCTCACACAGTTATACTAGGAGACTTCAACATCCAATCTCAGCACTAGACAGGACTACCAGACAGAAACTTAACAAAGAAAAAAAGGAACTAATAGAAGTTATGACCCAATTGGGTTTGACTGATGTAGGAGGAAGCCTGTATGCTGCCATTAACCATGTGACTTACTAGAGGCGCATACAGATGAGGTAATAAAAGAGGGGTTTATCACACCACTAACCACACCCACTTTAAGCATGACTAAAGATGTATACGGAAGTAGGCAGTGAACTACGTCATTAGCCAGGCCCACTTTTGGGCAAGGCTAGAGGGCATTACGGGGGAAGGCATAAAAGACAGCACAAAGGAAGTCTTGGTCTCTTTTCCCGGATTTTGGCTTCCGGTTTGGCAGTGGAAAACTACTGGGCTCATCTGGGTTACTTGTTTGGTATCTTGTGAGTAATTTCTGCAATAAATACTTAGCTTTACTTTCAGTAAGTGTGCCGTTTATCGTTACAGCTTCATTTGGAGCATCAGATTGACATCTATAGAACATTCCATCCAAACACGAATATACCTTCTTCTCAGCACCACATGGAACCTTCTCAACCACATGCTTGGTAGAATATCAAACCTCAACAGGTACAAAAAATTGGAATAACTCCATGTATCTTATTATACCATGCTTTAAAGTTAGAATTTAACAACAACACAAATTGTAGAAAACCTACAAACTGATAGAAATTGAATAAGGCAAAATTACACCACTCCTGAGTCACAGAAGAAATAATAAAAGAAATTAAAGACTTCCTGGAATTCAAAGAGAATGAAGATACAATGTACCCAAACTTAAGGGACACCTTGAATGCAGTGCTAAAAGGAAAGTGCATAACATTAAGTGCCCACATGAAGAACTGGAGAATAACCACACTAGAGAATTAATAGCACAACTGAAAGCTCTAGAACAAAAAGAAGCAAACTCACCCAGGAGGAGGAGACACCAGAAAATAATCAAATTGAGGGCTGACCTCAATAAAGTAGAAACTAGGAAAATGTTACAAAGAATAAGTGTAACAAAGAGTTGGTTCTTTGAGAAAATCAACAAGATAGACAAACCTTTATCAAAACTCACCAAAAGGCAGAATGTGAACATGCAAATTAACAAAATCAGATATGAAAAGGAAAGGGGACATGACAACGGGCACTGAGGAAATCCAGAAATTCATCAGGTGATACTTTGAAAACATGTACTCCAGAAAATTCAAAAATTTAAAGGAAATGGACAACTTTCTGGATACATATCACCTGGCAAAATTAAATCAGAACAGATAAGCTATTTAAATAGACCTGTAGCCCCTAAGAAAATAGAAACAGTCATCAAAATCACCCAACAAGAAAAAAAGCCCAGGGACAGATGGCCTCAGTGCAGAATTCTACCAGAAATTCAAAGATCAGCTTATACCAATTCTCCTCAAAGTATTCCATGCAATAGAAGCAGAAGGGTCTCTGCCAAACTATTTTTACAAGGCTTCAATAACCCAAGCCACACAAAAACACAATTAAGAAAGAGAACTTCAGACCAATATCCATCATAAACATTGATGCAAAAATATTCAATATAATACTGGCAAATTCGGTCCAAGAACACATCAGAAAATTCACCCACCATGATCAAGTAGGTTTCAACCCAGGGATGCAGAGGTTTTTCAACATATGAAAATCCATCAATGTAATCCACTATATAAACAAGTTGAGAAACAAAAATCTCATGATCATCTCACTAGATGCTGAAAAAAAACCCTTTGACAAAATCCAATACCCCTTCATGATAAAGGTCTTGGGGAGATCAGGGTTAACAGGAACATACCTAAACATAATAAAGTCTATATAGAGCAAACCAACAGCCAACATCAAACTAAATGGAGAAAAGCTCA